CCTTCCACCTTGGGTGAATCCATGTACCAATCAATTTCAACACTTCACCTCAAGTTTAGACTCTTTCGGTGCTTAAGCTGAGATCAATGTAGACCACAACTACTTTTGTTAATAGTGCGTTGGCCGGGTTTTGTACATGAGACCTCATGGCTCTAATTTTATATTGAACTGAGCTATTTTAGCTTTTTCTAACAAAAAGTTTGAGTAGTGAAGTGAAAAGAGGGTAAAGATTTCTTCCATCCTTCCTAGGTCCTTGTGCTTGCACCCTCTCAGACATTTTTTTCACACTACAACTAGTTACCACAAAAGTCTAAATTCATGGACAAGAGCTGAGCTATGCCCCATGTGTTGATTGTCAGGATCAACTAGGTTAAGGGACTGTTCGGAGTCCCTCTGCTCCACGCTGCCGCTCCCGGAGCTGGCGGAGTTTTAGTTGAAAACCGCGGAGCGAGTGAACAGGTATTCATCAGATTCTTAAATTCCAGAGACCCCTAAGCTTGAGCCACATAGAAATGAGAAGATGGACAGTTACCTTGATCTTTTTTTTTAGAAAAGGAGGATGACCCCGGTCTCTGCATCTGGGAGAAGCATGCGGCCATTTTATTGATTATTCTCGAGGACCTTACAAAGTAGAACAACAATATGCCTGAATCCAGTATCTTGGCAATTTGCCGCTACTCCTGTCCATATAATGAAGGGGTGCAAGCTGGACAACATACCAGCCTCTCACCTAAGCCTAACGTCTAAAGCCGAAGGCCCCGACCGAACCATCTGCCAGGTCTGGGGCACAAACTGGTCCGATGTACTCATATCTGTCGTCGCCGCATCTTTCACTAGTCCATTTTCAAAGCAGATTGAGGTGTCAACCCATCTTGAGGTCTTGTCATCTTCTCTTCTTCTTCCTTCTCCTTCTAGATCTTAATATGATGTCTGTTTGGTCCTTTGCAGTGCCTCCAGTGCTTGCTCTGATCCTGAGTTTGGGGTCGAGCTTGAGCGAGGATGAGAGCGAGAGCTTAGAGCAACCGCATATGGATCTCTCACATGTATTTATATGCACTGTGCACTATGTTGGAGGAAAGTTGCCCCCGATCATGACAAAATTGCTGTAGCAACTAGACCACTGCTGCAACACTGTAGCAGTATTGTAGTAGCAACAAATTATTGATCTACTATTTAGATGCAAATCACAAAATATCCAACAGCAGGCACTACATATTATTTTTAATTTTTTAGGTAAATTTTTGAAGGTATTACATATATAGAATTTTGTATGGGTCAGGGTTCAGCCCGTTGAATGGTCAGCAGTTAACTTTTGATAAAAAAGAAAAAAAAATCCAAAAACAAAAAGGTTAGCGAATTCAAAGAAGTCCTTGGATTAAAAAAAGCAATTTCAGTAATAGTTCCCAACTTTTAAAAAACATGGTTTTGAAAAAAAGTTCAAGGATTTGAAAAGTGTTCGTTGATTTTGCAAAAAGTTCATTTATTTTGACAAAATGTTCACGAATTTTAGAAAAGTTCATTGATTTAAAAAAAGTGCACGAATTTTGAGAAAAAAATCACGGATTCGAAAAGTTCATCGATTTTGAAAAAACATCAATTTTGAAAAAAATTCATTGATTTTGAAGAAAAAGTTCATGGATTTTGGAAAAAGTTCATCAATTCGGGGGAAAAAGTTCATGAATTTTTAAAGGTTTGCGCATTTGAGAAAAAAGAAAGAAAATAAATAAAAAAGGAGAAAAAGAAACAAGGAAAAAGAAAGAAGAAAGAAAAACTAAATAAGAACCACCCAAAACCGACTAGCAAACCGGGAAACCGGTTGGGGAAGCTTCCCAAAACCGAGGGTTTCCGCGAACTGAAAAAAAAGGTAATAGGCACGAGCGTTAAGATGTCCTAGTTGGTTTTGCAGTTCTCTCTCAATGAAGAAGTCATGAGTTCGAGTCATGTCGCCTGCACATTTTATTAAAGTTTAACAGAAAAAGGGTAAATGGTTATGAGGGGTGTGCGCCGGTTGGCTAATTAGCCTTTTACCGACGCTGATGGCGCCAAATAGGTGTCGGGCTAACTAGCACGTACATGACACACATTGACTTAAAAAAACATACTCTCTCCGTTCCTAAATATTTGTCTTTCTAGACATTTTAAATGACTAACACATACGGATGTGTGTAGACATATTTTAGAGTGTAGATTCACTCATTTTACTCCGTATGTAGTCACTTGTTAAAATGCCTAGAAAGATAAGTATTTAGGAACGGAGGGAGTACATGACACACGTGACCAGACGCTCGACCTCATGTTCGACCACCGACCGCCGCCGTCGTAACGGCCTCCTCCAGTAACTTCCCCAACTCATTGGTCATTTGCACGAGCGTCGAGTGCGCGGCCCCGGTTCCTCGGTTGCTGGTCTGTTGCCACACCGCGCTGCCACCCTGCCGCCGTTTGCTGCCCGCCGACTCACTTGCGTCTTTGACCGTCCTTAAAACGGACACTGTATTTGTCTGCGCACTAGTCCGGAGAGTCCAAGTCATCCAACCCTGTCTCGCAAAACGTCCATCCTTGTTTTTAAGTCTGCAACACTTCAAATACATATAGAAAATAACATAATTCATCCATAAATAGCATGTAAATATTCCTAGTACAACAATAGTTCAAATATAAATATCACATCCGAGATAATTGGATGTTCAACAATGCTTCCCATTTGAATATGCTTGTGAATTGCCAAAGTTTCAACAATGCTCATGTCAAAAATTTCTATGCACCGAGCCTCCGAGCAGCTCGTCGAGGTTGACAAGCTGGCAAGGAGGCTTGGGCTTGACTCATTTGACCTCCGAGCCGAGCCAAGCTTGTGAGCCAAGCCACGAGTCTCGAGCTTTCTGTTGACCTTTATAAGGCGTGCAATATAGTTATGGTTTTGATTTTTCAAAAATGGTAGACGTACAGGCTTTTACAGGTTTCTATAGGCTTCTTTCAAACTTTCTAAACACCCTCCTCCCTTTGATTTCAATGGGGGTGGGCCCGTGCCTCTACTAATGACCAATTAAAAACTGCCACAACACCCTGTAAACCCCTCATGCCTGTAACCCTGTATGTGTAGCAAAGCTCTTGATTTTTAGGGTTACCGCCGCATCATCATAAGAGGTTGCCAACATGATGAAGCGAGGTTATTTTTTCTTTAAGGCCATGAAGGGAGGTTTTGCCGATCATGCAAGAGCATGACGGGACACGATACTAATACCTGATTTTTGGACGACCAGCTAATTGAGCGGCCAGTGGCGGAGCTACAAAGAAAAAGTTGGACGGGCCGGTCTAAAAGGGAACACAGAAAATTTTTAAATTTTGAACCATACTTCTTCAATACTAGTCTCTCTGTACCGATTTTAGTAATAGCTAGTATTAGTCGGTGTCAGTTATTTTAAAAACCATCGAAACTCTAAACCGTCATTTTCTTTTGAAAACAGAACCAATTGTTTGCTAACTGGCTTACCCATGGCCAATTATAAGTTGGTAAACTACAATCTGTAGAAATTTGCAAACAATTGAATAATTCATGCTACGAAATCGAATTCAGTAACTATAGCATATATGACTTTTTTCTTTTGATAGGAGTCTGTGGAAAAATTGGTCTTGGAAATTTGAGATGGTCCCATGAACTAGCATTAGGAGAAACAAAGGATATTAGCATGTGCGACGATGCAGCTGCGCCCTGATGTGGCTGAATCTGGAGCGTGCTGCTGTGGCTGAATCGGGAATGGATGTTCTGCTGGATGTGAATCTGCACAACAACCCAACTTCTTGCACCCAGATCACATCGACTGCTTACGTTGCTTGGAATCTTTGGAAAGAGAGGAATAGGCGGACGTTTGAAGGAAAGAGATGCCCTCCCGAAACAGTTGCTGCTATGGCCAGAGATGACATTGTACTGTTCAAGGAAGCTACTGTTTTCTTTCTTTTTCCAGTTTTTGGGTTCTGTATGTGTGCGTGGGTACTTGAGGCTCTGTACAACACCTGGGAACTTTGGTTCCTTTTCCCTCTTCTAATATGAATAGGCAGAACTACTGCCATTGCCTTTCAAAAAAGAAAAAAAGAAAAAGAAAAAAAGAAGCGTGTTGGTCTAGTCTACTAGTGGATTGAGCTGCAGTGGGCTGGGTATTCCGGCTTCGAGCAGCAGGTTTGACATGCGTCACACACAAGCTAACCAAAGGAAAAGTCATCTGTTGTGTGTATTGAGCGCATCCGCTGACCCCTCACGGATGGAGCGGACTAGGCATACGTAGCTTTCTTTTTTGCCTTTGGACAGGGCGCACGTAGCTCCGCCGGTGCGAGTGGCCATTGCCTTTTGACTCCCATGCATGTGCCGCGAATTAACAAGGTCGTGCAGGAATCGTGCAATATTTGCCGTCTGTGTAGCTCATGTTTTTTTTTT